GCTCTGCCTCCCATTCTGCTTTTGGGAACTATAGGAACCACAAGTAAACCTGCAGTATGAAAGCAAAGTTATATGTTAGGAAAATATGGAAAAATATGATCTGTAGTATGAGATGGAGCTAGGTTGTTGAGTTCTTTGAATGTTAGAGGTAAGATACAAGACAGGACAGGACAGAAAGTTATGGAGAATGGTGAGTTCAAACAATACACATTGCCTTGACACACACATACACAAACAGGAGGCTGTGGTGGCCAAAAATAAAACATTTTGTTCATTATGATCAGCATTGTGAAAGAAATTGGACTGGTTCAAAGTTTATCGAGATCCATCCCATTCTGTATGTTACTGTGGATTTCATCTTGTTTGTTCAGTTCCACAATTCCATTTACATTTTACAACTCTACCTAAAGTTCTCATTAATCATCATTTAATTCCAGGTGCTTCAGACAGATCCAACACCATGTTCTACTCACTGACTGACTTTATTTTCATTCTGGCTGATTTGATTGGTTGACGTTTGTTTCTGATGTTATAGACATTAGTTACAACCACTTGTTAGAAATCTTTCTTGAAGTCCTTTTCTTTGCTTAGTGAGGACTCTCATTGGGTTGCATGCATGCCTTAACGAGTGGAATGTCCTCTCTGGGTCAGGGGGGAGTCTCTCCCTCAGGTGGAGGAGTTTAAGTATCTGAGTGTCTTGTTCATGAGTGATGGAAGGATGGAGGGGTAGATGGATTAACAGACTGGGGCCTCTTTGCTTTGGTCAGTCGTGGTGAAGGAAAAGTTGAGTTGAAAGGCAAAGCTCTTGATTTACTAGACCGTCTGCATTCCAAACCTCACCGGTCATCACGAGGTTTAGATTATGACCAAAAAAATGTGATCCTGGATACAAGCAGCCAAACTGAGCTTCCTTAGTAGGGTGGCCGGGTTCAGCTTTATAGATAGGACAAGGAGCTCTGTCATCTGGGAGGAGCTCGGAACGCTTCACCTTGGCATTGACAGGAGTCAGTTGAGATGGTTCAGTCATCTGATTAGGATGCCTCCTGGATAGGAAATTGTCCAGAGGACCTGACTGACCATTATTGGATTTTGTACCTGGATGATTGAGCATGAACTTTGATGTCTTGGACCACTTTGGTTGTGGCTGCCTGCCTGGGGGGAGTCGACGGGGGACTGGACAGCCCCCAGAAACCATCTTATCTCCAGCAAACTGGTTGGTCCACTAAAGGAATGTACTGCTTAGTGGGAAAAACAGTTTACGTGGGACTCCTCAGACTGATGAAGCCCTCTGGATAGAGGGCGAAACATCTTTCCACAAAAAAGAAACTGTCCAGATGACCTGACTGACCATTATTGGATTTTGTACCTGGATGACTGAGCATGAACCTTCATGCCTCCTGGACCCCTCCCTTTGGAGGTTTTCAGTGCATGTCCTGCTGGTAGGAGGCCTTGGAGCAGACCTAGAACTTACTGGTGGGATTATGTATCTTCTCTGGCCTGGGAACATCTTGGGGTCCCCCAGGAGGAACTAGAGGAGAGTGCTGCTGGGGAGAAGGAGGTCTGGGTTTCTCTCTGGATCTGTTGCCTCCATGACCTGATTATGGATAAGTGGTACAAGATGGAGATGTATTGCATGTTAGGTTGGTGTTCAATGTTTGTCCCCCAGTTGTTTATCATGGTCTTAAATTATCGGTTACAGAAGCACATCTTTACTGTTCTCTTAGGCTTGACACTGTGTGTAATGGTACATGAATTTGATGTAAAATACTGGGACACTGAATAATGGCCTCTGAATATGGAAAAATATATGAGCTCAATTTATAGAGCTCATATATTTTACCATATTCAGATATTGTAAAATACATGCACGCACAATTTATTTTTGAATGGGGCAAATGAGGGTGGAGGCAGGTGTAGGTGTTTCACCATTGCCACCCACATTTTGATGTTGTCTGTCCAGGGAGTCGAACCGGAGATATTCAGATCACGGGCCCACCTTTTCTAACCTCTGCGCCGCCACTCCACATTTACGTACTGTATATACGTGTCCATACATGCATACATACATACATACATACATATGTATATATATATATATATATATATATATATATATGAAATCTCTGAAATGGTTCAAATTAGATTCACTGTCTTTATTCAGGAATGCTAGCAATTGAGAATATATTGTTAAAATAAAAAATATATTTCTTTAAAATTACAAAAAAGTTTAATTTTTCTAAAACAACATTTAGTTTTATGTTTATGGTGTTCAACAAATTCTTAATGTTGAGGCAAATAAAAAATCTGCACCAAACCAAAACATGAGTTGCCGGAGAAAACGACTGGTTGGGTCAGCAAATTCAAATGGCTGGCAACGGCCCCCCAGGACCCCCCCTTGGCAATGCCCCTGATGGTCGAGTAAGACACACTGTTTTTATAGAATATGTCAAGAGCACCCAGGGTTGGTATGTGAAGTTTTATTTCTTCATTTTAGGATCTGGTAACACCCAGATTAGTATATAAGTAAATTTTTCATTCTCGTATGTACGTAAATATTTTAATCCCCATGTTCTTGTTTGTTTTTATTTACCATGTAAAATTTGATTTGATGGTGAAAACATTCCTGTTCACTTTGACAAGGTTAAAAATTCTAGTCGATCAATTGTGTTTCAGAAGTTTTGACTCAGTAAAACTCACAGGCAAAGAGAAAAAAAATACAATTCTAGTTGTTCACCATGTTTAAAACCTTCTGTCCACGTTTCTCCCATAAAAACAGGTGTTGTATACATTGTTGTCACTCTGTTTCATCACTCTTTGTGTTGCTTTTACAAACCACACAAACAGTTTGGCATCAAGTATTACTCTGTCTACATAATCATAATTATAGCTGGGACCTTGAGTACACAATATTGTTCCACCTCAAGTACCACATGTGATGCGAATGACAGTAAAGAACCTTGGACGTTGAATGATCATGCAAAGTCACGGGCACCTTCTTTCAGCTCTCTTGTAACCCTCAGAGCCTGCTGGGATTGTTTTGGATGGTTTCTGTGCCAAAGTAACCTCCAGAGGATCAATGATCATTGTGTCACAACTGAATAATGGATGTTTTTGTCCCCTGCTTCTACTCGAGGAGTCCAGCAACACACACTCACACACAAAATTGCATGTTTCTATTCTTGTGGGTGGTAACTAATCAGAAAATAAAGCTCATTTGCACACATCAGAGCCCAAGTATTCAGCATGAGCATGATGTCATCATATCTTGCTGGCTCGCTGCTCCCTCACCTTAATGAGCAGCAGAGAAACATCCACTTGACAAAACCAAGAGTGCTCAGGGATCAATTAACAGAGACATGTCCACAGTGATGATAGTAGTTGTTCTGTAAGAGTGGATTTAAGTACCTTTTACAAATTAACAATAATTGTCGTGTATAGGTTTCAATTAATACCTGGCAATCAGCAGTGAATCAGCTTCAGCACTCAGAAAACCACAATTAACATTTTTTTTACCCCTTAAGTGTTTTTCTGTGATTCAAACAGAAAAGAAACAGGCTCAGATTCCCACACATGGATAAGGTGTAGCTCTTGTAATGTTAGAAATTTTAGTAGAACTTACTTTTTAACTAAAATCAAGGGTTAATCCAAGTGGAGCAAACTTGTGTGATAAAGTACAAGTTAATGAGCTTTGGGGGTTCAGGTAGTCAGATTAGGTTAAGTTTAGATAATGACAGACAAGCTGCTTTTAGAAGCTTGTGAACTTAATTCAGTCAACTAGTTTCATTATTTAGCTGTGGGTCATTCATATTATAAGTTCTTCTAACTATACTATACTATACTATACTATACTATACTATACTATACTATACTATACTATACTATACTATACTATACTATACTATACTATACTATACTATACTATACTATACTATACTATACTATAC